GGGACCTCGGGATGATCGTAACCGATGGTTAGAGACACTGAGCGCTATGGCTGGGTGTCGCAAACAAAGGCGTTCTTGCATCTTCTCAATTTCTTTGGAACCGCAGACCTCTGAACTTCTCCATTTTATGTTCGACTCCACTTCCAAGTTTCGTTTCTTCTCCTATTCTTCATCCAAGTAGGCAGCCAAAAAACAACAACCACAACCGGCGCACGAATATGCGTGGTTAATGGTTGTTCAAAGTGAAACTGGTTGTGCTATATCATGTAGAAGGAAAATGAAAACCGGTGCGATCCACTGCCGACTGATTGAGTGGACAGTGTGCTTGCGTTCTGCTTGTGAGGTCCAGCTTTTCGTAGTTTTTCATTTCACGCTTTATTTACTCTGTAAATGTCGGATTCTACTATATAAACGTACAGTTTTTTTGCATACACTAATACTATAAGAAACATACAGTGCATCATGTTCAGTCGATTAAATACCTAATCTTTTTTATGCGGAGCCTTTTTTGAAGTACACCGTGAAATCTCGCTAATGCCGCACTTATGTGCAACTGCCACCTTAATAAGGTCTTCACCTTTCCAATAACTGATAGGTTAGAATAGCATTTGTTTTGATTGGTCAGCATTTCGAATCTCGCCCCGCGCTAAAAGTGCCAATTCGCCATCGTTCGATGGCTCACAAAGCACTTAACTGTTATGTTCTAGACGTACGATGGGCACCAGCACGTTTTGCTCAGCCCCCAACATTAACGCGAGAGGAGCACGATGGAAGAACAACAGCAAAGTGAATTCTGCGGTCATGATGTGTCACGCAAACCTAAATGGGTAATTTGGGCTTGCGGGAACAACGTGGTGACGCATCAGTCAGATTGCGTCCTTTACACTCCGATTGGTCGATCGGGCAATAGTTGTTTGATTCGTTCTATAGTCGTTCAATCCGGAATCGACTCTCCCTGGGCGTTGCGAGGGTGCTTATGGTGTGACGCGGATCCGTGCGGGGCTTGACGGGTTCTGTGAGCGCCGCCGGAACTGTAAGCTTCATTGTGGCGTAACCCAATCCCAAAAACCATCGCATGATCGCCCATTGGAAAAGCCGACTGCAGGGCTTAAACACACAAACAGGTCACTGTTATCTTCTCCTCATTCACTTGCGATGAACTGAAGTCTTGCATTCGTTGTCATTTGTGAACTTTTGCTCTGAAAGTTGCTCACTTAATAGCCTCGAGAGTAGTGTGCGCCAGCATCTTCCTTGAGGAAAATCATAAGGTCAGTAGGATCTTTAACAGCCAAATGACCGTTGCGCCAATGCGGTTTGAGAGAGACAGTTCATGCCACCCACCATCCCACAGGGGTAGCAATAGCAACTCAGGGCCTAACTGCAGGCATGCGATCACGATCACCACTGAGGTGAATGTGTTCATCCCATTAAAAATAAAGAAAATTCTTTACAGGTCAAACGAAATGCAGCAGTCATAAAGTACTTTGTGAGTTACAGTTCTGTCTTTGATTCTGGCTTCGCTTCAATGCTTTCGCGGTTCACGCGACTGATTTTTCTCTTCCTGATTTTGCGTTTCACACACTCTCCTCTTCCCTATCTCTTTTCCCTTCTCATTCGAATCCCATGCAAATATAGGATTGGGTGTGCAGTTTTCCAACATGCTTGTTCCAGCTTCACAGGATGATAACCTTTGCCTGATCTACGTGATTCTTTGCATGATGTGTTCGGGTAAATTATTCCAGCTTCTCACATTCTACGTTGACTCCGTGTATCCCGGACCGTTTGGTGTGTCCAAACCGTGGTACTTTCCGTTTGTAGTAAGTTTCGTCAGACAGCTACGGCAGTGCGTTGCTTAAACCACAGTAAAAATTATTTTTTATGCTGATCTCATGCGATTCATTCATATGCTTTATTCACCAAAGTGTCTTGTTTTTCACCTGGTGTCTAGGTTCACGGAACCGTATTCACTCTTGAGGGATAGGGCCATTATAACTAAGAAACACCAGCAAATAAAGTGTGATTTCAGCCACAAACAGTTGATTTACAACATATTCGACTACAAAGGAAGTGCTAGCAATATAATCGATATTTACTGATTGGTTAATTTTGTGTAATGCAATAAATAATTAGAGACTAGAAAATTTACCGGTTGCTTTTCCCTTTTAGTCCAGTACATCTCAGAAGATTAAGAAAAATTAGTGTGAGCAGAGTTAATTTTGGCTACCCAAACCGTAGCCGATGGTTGGAGACACCGAGTGATATGGCTGAGTGTCGTAAACAGTAATGTTGGTGCATCTTGTCAGTTTCTCTGCAAAATTAGTGCAATGAAATCCTGAGTTTTCTCTTTGATCCTACTTTCAACCTTGTCTTTCTCATGTTCATCCAAATGGGCAACCAAAAGACAGCAACCAAAATCGGCGCTCGATAGGACATGGTTAATGGTTGTGGAAACTGAAACTGAAAACCCAAATCTAGTTCTCCAAATCGGCGGTCAACAACTCATCATATACTATTGGATAATACAGAAAAGATCCATGTCGAATAGGCCATTTGTGGAAAGCGACCAGTTAGACAGTTAACACTAGATGATGAAAATTAAGGATCAGTAGTTTAAGTTATTTGGCAAACTGTTCATACCGATTGATGTTCGTGTGAACAATTTGAACGACATGAGCTGAAGAGGTGCGGAGAAATGCAATTGATACCCGAATGAATTTTCATTAACATTCATTAACATTCATTCATTTCATTAACACAAGAGGGCCATATGGGTAGCATAAAAAATGGCAATTGGTTTCGCGTACTGCTTCTCTTTTTATGTTTAACATTAGTGTATAGCTGTATAACAGCTGAATGAGACGACGTGAAATTCATGGCCAATATCAAGTCTGCTCACATGAACTTTTGTGTTAACGAACTGGTTAAACATAAAAGGACTTTGCACATTTTCTAGCTGTTCTGAAACGGTGAAAAGATTAGTTCTCATATATTACAATCCGGCTCTCGGTTTCCGACACCATTCGCTTTAGTCGGACTCCTGGAGAATTTCTCAAGAGCAATTGCGAACAGATAGATGAGAAAAAGTATGATATCACAGACAGCTTTCGGTTAACTCGCATCGAATCTGTGCTGTTAGATTCATGACCTGGTATGATAGCACTATGAACCTAACGTCATCGCTGATTCAGGTTTTGCTTTTCCTGAATACTATTCAAGTAGTCACGCCGCACTACTCCCTTTTGTTCAGGCACGTATTTCGTTTGTTTGTCCATCGATTTTCTCTTCGCGTACTGTCCAGACTTCCGGGGCATGACCAGCAAATGCGAGGCACCTAGTCTGTTATATAGCTTGACTAAATGAACGGTTGGTATCCATTTGGTTTTCGGACAATCCTTTCCAGCTTTTTGATTCAAGCTCGAAGGATGATAAAGATCTACGTGTGGAAAATGTGATCCAGCACGGAAAATAATAATAATGATAATAAAACGTTGCAAATTATCTTCCTCGGATGAAGATGATGTGAAGCGATGCTGTTTGGTGACACTTTGTCCATTTGCTAATCAAGTCGCACTTGAAAAATTGCCATTTGAATGGATTTGTGTGCTTCTAGTTTGTTTTCCCCTCCCCCCACTCTGGCCGCTTTGTTATGGCGTTGCTAACCTTTACCAAGCATTTCCATGACAACTGTGTTCAACTTGGTCAACCCGCAACGTAATTTCGTCCCATTGGGTATATTATTCCTTTCCTGATTGTCACGTGAGTTTTGACCCACTCCTTTCCCCTTCCCTTGCAGTACCTATGTCGCCGTAAGCCCAGTGCCCCGGTTGTGTTGGCCAGTGAGGAAGCGGATGATACGGCTCTCCTGTTAGGCGAATCGGGTCGCAGTGTTCGTCGTCCACGTGCAACGACGAAAAGGTTACTCGTGCGGACAGAGGAAGAAAATCGCTTAGGCTCATTGTCCACCCCTCAGCTGAGTGAGCAGGATCCCGTTCGGCCAAAATTTTCGGGCACAATAATGGAGCCTGAGCCCGTTGGCTTACCCATTGGGATCGCAGTGCGAAAATTGACCAAGGTGAATGGGAATGTTAAACTGTCTGTCTAGTGGACTGTTTATGGGAGGAATACACCCCAGGGTTAGATAAAAACGTATTTCTCCGACCGTTATTATATACTTTTTGCAATTCAAGTTGTCCGAATATTATTTCAAGATTTTCGAGTATTATTTCAAAATGTCCAAGTATCATTTCAAGTTGTCTCGTTGACCTCGTCGGTGCTGACATGCCTCCCAGCGATGCCTGGATGACCACCATGCAGCACAGATTTCTCTACCTCCCTTTGAAGTGCAGGGAGACAATTGTGCGACGTTCGTCGGTCGCAAATGCACCAATGCCCATGAGACTGGTTGTTTATCTTGCAGGTACGCGTACGCTTTCGCGTATGTTTGCGTGTCTTCGTCCCCCTCCGCTGATACCAATGCATCATGCGCGATCAACGCTCGAGTGATTGCTTACTTGTGTAGCATGATGCTGCAATAGAATTCATAAGCTACACCTCAAGCGGTTGCACTGGGACACCAATCGATTATGTTTGATCGATATGCACATCAGCGTTGACCAGATTCACATCCAGTTTGTTCAGGTTATATTCCATCTCTATGATACCACCACAGAAGCACCTTCAAGTACTGAACAATCGAAATGACGATTTTGACCGTATATCCGGAACGGAATGACATATCTCTGTCAAACCAACTGCAAAAGAAATAACGTAACAAGGGCTGCCGAAATACGCCATAAATTTCTTAATAGTTACAGAATTTTATAAGAAAATACAAGTTCAAAAATTGGAATGTTTTCAGTGTTTTTGTCTGAGTATGGACTCTGAATTTGATGATCTTTATCGCTGAAATCGTATAGTCTTACTTAAATACTTCCACCACACAAAGTAAACTGGGTGAATTAAGGTTAACATATGATATTCACAAGTAGTAAATGCAAACTGGCTTCGAACAACCGTAATGCCATTGTTCCATCTCTCGATTCAGTTTCACGATGGGAACACCACAGTGGTCGTTCTTAGAATAGTGATTACCGAAGCCACCACTAATCAAAAACTGTGAAAAGGTTCGATAAAAGTATTATGAGATCAGAACACCTTTTCTGTAAAATGTAGACCAGCACCAGACAAACCCCAATTGTCAAAACGTAGTCTCAGCTTTAAGACCCACTGAAACTCACAATGAATGTCATAGCTACGGTTTTCATATGAGAACGTGGATATTCAGTTTAGGTTGGTCGACTATTTGCTCCAACCGCGATTACATAAATCTCTTAGCCTAACCTTAGCATTATTCGTCTGGTTACCCCACCAGACTCGAGCAATGCTGCGTAGACAGCGGTGTTCGACCACCGACAATCTATTTTCGTCCTGTTCTCGTAATGGCCAAGTCTCTATCCCATAGAGCAGCACTGGCCGAACTGCTGCAGCATATACTCAACCCTTCACAGACAGCCGGATTTCGGGCCGGTGTCACAGATGTCTCAGTTTGGCCCAGGAGTTTCGTTAACTCCAAAACCAAGGCGTAACTTCTTTAAAAACCGATGGGGGCAGCCCGTCGAGGCCGGAAGCCTTATACCCTTTGAGATAATTTACTTCTTGGATAATCTCCATTGCAGATGGAGGACTGATGTCAACTGGCAGTATTGGTACAGTTGACGCGGGTATAAGGAGGTTTTGTGTCGATGGGGGCCGGATGAATTATACCTTAAAATATTCTGCCCAACGTTCAAGACAAGGTCCATAATATGAATCAGTGTGCTATCAGACTCCTTGATTACTTCACTTAGGCCTACTTTCCTTGAACCTGTGCTCCTAATTAAACGAAAAAGATTGCGACTATTACCGATAGCCGCAGCCTTCTCCATCTCCCTACATTTCCCTACCCACCACTTCTCGCGGTCATTCCTCAGACTCTTGATGAGCTGGTGTTTAAGGGATTTGCGCGCTTTGTCGTAGTTTGAATCCGAAGGAATGGCTTTGTGAGTGTCCAGCAAGGCAATCGAGGTCAAGGAGATTCATCGTTTTTGATTTCATCGTGCGCCAGAATCTGCCGTTGTTTTGATTGACATTTGGATCGCTTCTCTGATTGCCATCCAGTCTTCATTGAGTCCTCCGGCTGATAGTTGAGCTGAGAAGCGATCTGACAGTTCCCTTTCGAAGGCCGATTTGCAACCATTACCGACACCGTATTGTGGGCATCCGTTTTCGGTGGCTTTTCTACCGTTCTTTATTCTGTGTAGAGAGAATCTCGCTCGTAGTAGAGTATGGTCCGTGTCCACGGTTACTGACCAGTAGGAGCGGCAGTCTTCGATGGATCCCCGCCAGTGGTGGCTGATAGCGATGTGTTCGATCTAAGTCCAGCACTGCGAAGCAGTTTGGCGGTCTCCATGTAAGACGGTGGCTTTTTTTGTGCGAGAAGTTTGTGCCTAATAGAAACAGTCCGTGGTTAGCACAGAGTTGAACTGGGCGTTCTCTGTTGTCAGTCCGGTTGGCTGGGATTGCATTTGAACCACCAAGCAGTTTTTCTGATTCGTCCAGGGATCCCGCTTGAGCATTGAAGTCTCCAGCGACTACCACGATGTTCGTTGACCGAGCACTTTGGAGCAGTTGAGAGAGGTTCTTGTACAATTCACCCATCATTTCTGACGAACTGCAATCAGTCGGTGCATAGGCGGATACGACGAATAAGCATCGACGCATCGTTCTGTAGGTGCTGATCCGTACTGAACCATCCAGACACAGTGCAAAGTCGGCTACTAACCGGGATCCAGTCGAGAAGTGAACGGTCGGCCTTGACACTCAACGCAATCCCAACACCAGCAACACCGCGAGCTTCGGATGCCGATACGCCTGCCACATGGAAGGTGGAGCGTGGGGATGACGTTGGATCTGGAGTACGCAAGGAGATGATTTAAATAGGGTCTTGAATGCTTGTTTGGGAGACACAGAGCACACAATGCACTATGTTGGACCAACAATCTACAGTCATTTCACAATGATCCCCATTTAGAGTAATTCACTGACCTGAAAATAAAAGTGAAAGTAAAGTAACTGTTTATCACGAGAAAAAAGCACACTTAATATTTTGTGGTATATTGCTCTCTGCTACGAAGAACCTTCATAGATTCCTCATACGCGCCTTCAACTTATCGGCTTATAAACGTAAGAGGTAGTTCGTTTTGAACTGTTATCAAATACCTCCGTCTGCGGAAAATAGTAAACGTCTCTCCTGATTTGTGACGGCAAATCACAGATAGGGAGAACAGGAGATTATCAAATACCGTTGAAACAAACTTTTTTACATTTGATTTAGAGATTTTACCACATCCTGGCTTCCTTCCGTACAAACAATTTCTGATCACATGTCGAAGACAGATCGAGATTTCAGCGACCAAAGTTTATATCTCCTTTTGCTCAATAACGCACGAAAATTAGGCATGTCCTCTGACACTGTCCATAATGAAGTTGTGTTCTTTAGATCGATAAATCACGGCGTAATTCAGGGTTTTATGATGGCCAGACCAGCTTTGGAGAATAAAAATGTAGTTGCATTTTGAAGGGATAGCTTTTTAGACCTCGGAGATAACGCCTCTTCTCGAATAGAACAATTTGTTCGTGATTTGAAAACAAGTGTTCAGATGTTGGCATGATTATCATGGTCACCAGACTTAACTCCCACCGAAAATGTGTGGGATTGTGTTGAGTTGCATGATCGTGGGAAGCCAACTTTTCATTAGGTTGAGAAATTTCCTAATCGGAACGAAATGCACTTTACGATCGTAAATCGATTGATGGAAAGCACAGCATGGAGAATCGATAAAGTTTATTTGTAGCAAAGGAGGAAATACCAGGAATTAGTTAGATGTATGGTCTTTTCTTCGCTCTCATGATAAGCATACATCATGGAACGTTTTTCTTTTTTACATACGTTATTGTACCATGAATTGTTTGGCGTCAGACGTCTGTGAAATATTTATATCTATGTACTTTATTTTGTATTATCTACATTTTCATGCAACCCAAAGACACCAACCCTAACTGGTGCATGCAAGTGCATGGTTAATGGTTGTGCATGCTGAACTGAACTGTGAAAAAGCTATAGATCTCTGATGCACTTTTCTAGGATGGAACATTTTTATTTGCCTTTTGGTTGCCCATTTGCGTGATGTAGTAGGAGTAGGACAGGGAAGTTAAAAGTAAAGTCTAAAAGAAAGTGGAGAATTTCAGTGGACTCAGTTTGCGAAGAAATTGGGATGCACGAACGCCACTGTTTACGACACTCAGCTACGTCTCTCAGTGTCTCCATCACTTGATTATGATGATCCAGATGTCCCCATCCAGGAAGCCTATCGCGACCTGTGTAACCGAGTCTCCTGGTTAGGATTTTCATAACTTCGTACTGTTTTAGTTTAACCGCCCTTGGCTATTTTTCACCCACTACCTACCTCGAGAAACATCGTGCGCTGTGGCAACTTATTTGGTGACATGCGCAACACATGACCCAAACAACGTTATCTATGGCGGTCGAACACTTGTTTCAATGGGCGACCACGGTTGCCTAAAACTCGTCCGGCTGCCCCACCAGACACGTGCAATATTGCGTAGACTGCGGTGATCAAACACCGTCAGTCTTCCGCTATCCTCAATATCCTGGTATGCTACAAGCTGTTCTGTCTAGTTTGTATGCTAGTATACTCACTCTCGGTATGCGTTCAAAGTGTAACATATTGCAACAAGACTGTGTTGGTCCGGCACCCAGCCTCACTCTAACTGGAGAAGTAATGGAGCAACTGAACAAGTAATTATGCGCAGCTAAAAATACAATTAGCAGAATAACATTTTACGTGGTATGAGAAACAGAACAGAATTGTTTTCAGCAGTAAAAACGTTTGATTTGAATGGTTGGGGTGGGTTACGATAAAATTATGATTAAAGCTACCTAAAATTCTAACACTTTTGGTTCCATCCAAATCCTATGGTGAATAATTGGGACATCTTCGATAGAATCGCGCATGAAATGGTGCGGGGCTGAAGTCGGTGTTTGTCACTGAGTAGGAAATATTGGAGCTGTGATTTCGAAACTTACTGCGGATTGATAGCGTTTTGCACTCTCTAATTATCGTGGATAAATAAAAGCAACACCCTAATTTGTATCTCTTTACCAGCACGGTGCTTCCAATTCCAATCATTCAATCTGTCAGGTTCTTCTCCGATAAAGCTGTCTGTTTTCATATCTGCTTGAATCACTTTTCTCTCTGTTTGGTTAACCGATTTTTGTTATATTACATTTCGCCAATCTCTCCGTCTCTATCATGATACTGCGTTTTTGTTCCAGTATGGAAGAATGTGAAGTGCTCTGTTCCCGTGTCGCAATCATGGTGAATGGTCGACTCAAATGTTTGGGCACATGTCAGCATTTGAAAGATCGTTTCGGTCGTGGTTATAGTCTGGTGATTCAGGTTGCCGCTCAGCGTACACCTCCTGAATCCGCACGAGGTTCTCCGGTCCGATTTGGCGGTTCGACAGACTCCGATAGTTTGGATGCGGACACACATGATGCTGCCGATTTGACCGGTCAAATTGCTTTGAATGACGTGGTGAACCAGGTCACCCGGTTTGTGGCCCAGCATTTTCCTGATGCAGTTTTGGTTGAACGACATC